CAATAACGTGGCTGATGACCAAACCACACAAAAGAGGATGAAGAAACGACGATGTTTCGATCCGTCCTGAACCAGTATCAAGTTGTATGTGGACTTGATAATGGTCCAGGATGGATCAAAATGTTGTCGTTTCTCCATCTTCTGATGTGTGGTTTGGTCATCAAGCCTTATTCCTCGTCAAAACTGCCATCTCATTCATAAACACTTGTTAAGCTTGCTATAAGTTCTTTATGCAGATCTTGTTACTTGTGACAAGGAGTACAAGTACTTTGAGAACACCCAGCTAGTGAGAGGCATAATGTTTATGGTACAACAATTATAAATACCTTAGTATTTCAAAGCATTATACAACAAAAACTACTGGGAAACCGGGACACCATGAGCATAGCTCTCATCATTTAACTACACTTAGGTAATTACACAGTGTTACATTAAAGTTTCATATTAATATAAACTGAAACTGAATCAGTCCTAAACTGAGTAGCAACAGGTACTCTGAGAGAGAACTATCAACATCAGAGGCCCGAGACTGTTCAACACGCTTCCACTACACATAAGGGGCATAACTGGCCGACCCCTCACAGTGTTCAAGAGAGAACTGGATAAGCACCTCCAAAGGATACCTGATCAACCAGGCTGTAACTCATACGTCAGGCTGCGAGCAGCCGCGTCCAACAGCCTGGTTGATCAGTCCGGCAACCAGGAGGCCTGGTCGACGACCGGGCCGCGGGGACGCTAAGCCCCGGAAGCACCTCAAGGTAACCTCAAGGTAGTATGATTATTGGAGGATTCTTCACCAGTTTATATTAATATGAAACTTTAATGCAACACTGTGTAATTACCTAAGTGTAGTTAAACGATGAGAGCTATGCTCATGGTGTCCCGGTTTCCCAGTAGTTTTTGTCATATAATGCTTTGAAACTACTGACGGTCTTGGCCTCCACCACCTTCTCACTTAACTTGTTCCAACCGTCTACCACTATTTGCGAAGGTGAATTTTCTTATATTTCTTCGGCATCTGTGTTTAGCTAGTTTAAATCTATGACCTCTTGTTCTTGAAGTGCCAGGTCTCAGGAAATCTTCCCTGTCGATTTTATCAATTCCTGTTACTATTTTGTATGTAGTGATCATATCACCTCTTTTTCTTCTGTCTTCTAGTTTTGGCATGTTTAACGCTTCCAACCTCTCCTCGTAGCTCTTGCCCTTCAGTTCTGGGAGCCACTTCGTAGCATGTCTTTGCACCTTTTCCAGTTGTTGATGTGCTTCTTAAGATATGGGCACCACACAACTGCTGCATATTCTAGCTTTGGCCTAACAAAAGTCATGAACAATTTCTTTAGTATATCGCCATCCATGTATTTAAATGCAATTCTGAAGTTAGAAAGCATCGCATAGGCTCCTTGCACAATATTCTTTATGTGGTCCTCAGGTGATAGTTTCTATCTAGAACCACCCCTAGATCTCTTTCTTTATCAGAATTCTTTAAAGATTTCTCACATAATATATAGGTTGTATGGGGTCTATGTTCTCCTATTCCACATTCCATAACATGACATTTATTAACATTAAATTCCATTTGCCAGGTGGTGCTCCATATACTTATTTTGTCCAGGTCTTCTTGAAGGGCATGACAATCATCTAAATTTCTTATCCTTCCTATTATCTTAGCATCATCAGCAAACATGTTCATATAATTCTGTATACCAACTGGTAGATCATTTATGTACACAATAAACATCACTGGTGCAAGAACTGAACCCTGTGGTACTCCACTTGTGACATTTCTCCATTCCGATACATTGCCTCTGATTACTGCCCTCATTTTTCTATCAGTCAGACAATTTTTCATCCATGATAGAAGCTTACCTGTTACCCCTCCAATATTTTCCAGTTTTCAGAACAACCTCTTATGTGGAACTCTGTCGAAAGCCTTTTTTAGGTCCAGATAGATGCAGTCAACCCAACCATCTCTTTCCTGTAATATCTCTGTGGCTCGATCATAGAAACTGAGTAAATTCGATACACAGGATCTTCCAGATCGAAAACCATACTGTCTGTCTGATATTATATCATTTCTCTCCAGGTGTTCTACCCATTTAGTTTTGATTAGCTTTTCCAATACTTTTACTATTACACTTGTCAATGATACAGGTCTATAATTGAGGGGGTCTTCCCTGCTGCCACTTTTGTAGATTGGAACTATGTTAGCCTGTTTCCACACGTCTGCTACGATTCCTGTACACAGGGATGCCTGAAAGATCAGGTGAAGTGGAATGCTGAGCTCAGATGCACATTCTCTCAGAACCCATGGTGAAACGCCATCTGGGCCAGCTGCTTTGTTCTTCCCGAGCTCCTTTAGCATATTTTCCACTTCATCTCTAGACACCTCTATCCGCTCTATGTTGTTCTCTGGAATTCTTATTGTGTCTGGTTCTCTGAAGATTTCATTTTGTACAAACACACTTTGGAACTTTTCATTTAATGTTTCACACATTTCCTTTTCATTTTCCGTGAATCTGTTTCCCATTTTCAACCTCTGGATATTATCCTTTACCTGCAATTTGTTGTTTATGAATTTGTAAAATAGGCCCGGTTCTGTTTTACATATATTTGCTATCCCTTTTTCAAAATTTCTTTCTGCCTCTCTCCTTACTGCTGTATAGTTGTTTCTCGCATCTTTGTATCGCTGGTATGTTTGGGGGTTTGGCCTCTTCCTATACTGATTCCATTTTTGTGTCTTTTGGTCTCTTGCCCTCTCACAATTTCTGTCGAACCAATCCTGTTTTCTGGCCCTGCATCTCTGTTTTGGTATGAATGTTTGTGTGCCTTCCTCGTATATTTTTAAAAATTTGGCATACATTTTATTTACTTCCCTGCCTAGCAACAATTCTGTCCAATTACACTCATTAAAAAAATTTCGAAGTTCCCCATAGTTGCCTCTCCTTAAATCGAGTTTATCAACTGTTTCAATGTCCCCATTTTCTTCTAGATGCTATCTTAAAGCATATTTAATGTCTAACAGGACGTGATCACTCTTTCCCAAGGGAGGAAGGTACTGGATGTCAAAAATCTCTTCTTCTTTCCTGGTGAATACTAGATCCAGTACTGACGGTACATCTCCTTCCCTCATTCTTGTGGCTTGCTTTATGTGTTGATACAAGAATGTCTCCAGAATGAGGTTCACAAATCTGCATGTCCAAAAGTCCTCCGTTCTTGCTTCATAGGCCTCCCAGTCTATTGCTTTAAAGTTGAAGTCACCCAGTATCAACAGTCGTGATTTATCTTTATCTGCTTGTACAATAATATCTCTCATGACCATTATGAGGCCCTCTCGTTTGTCAACCAGTTCTTCCTTTGTCCATGTGTTGCTTGCTGGTGGGCTGTAGGCATTTACAATTATCAGCTTATCATCCTGATTCCAGACCTGCAATGCCATTATGTCAATATCTCGAGGGTTTTCAAATATTAACTCTTTTACCTTCAGGTGTTTTTTCACCAGTACAGCCACTCCTCCTCCCTTCCTAGTTTTCCTGTGTGTGTGTGTGTGAAAGCTAGTTAAAACATGCTATAAATTAAGCTGTATCACACCGTTATGCTATATATAAATTTGAATATCTAATTAGTCCAGCTGGTTCAACAATTATCTGCATTTTGTAAAGAAATCTTTATAAATACATTTAATATTATATGTCCCTTATATATGTGTATGTGAACAAAATCTCAAATCGTTTTATCAGTTTTATTCAAATTTTATGTGAAAGTTGAAGGGAACCGCTATTCAGGAATATTGTATAGAAACGGGAGAGAGGGAGACAGGAAATTTAAATGATTCCTTCATGTTAAGTATTATACTGGACAATGCACCAAAAATTTATCTTGTCAAAATAGAAATCCAGATAATAATTCTAAGAACCTTCTGCTGTTATCTTTGACCCCTACAATCATTTAGTGACACTCATCATTTACAAGTAGTGATGATACATCTCAAGGTTCAAGTCTGTCCAAGATTGAGTCTCATACTCAAGTCTGTAAATGCAGTATTAAAACTATTTACTTGGCCTTGGTTTAACAATTTTGTTTATTTTAGTGGACCAGCCTGAGGTCAGACCTCGTTAAAGATTGATCAGACTGTTGTTTGTTTCCTTAACTGTGTTTAATAACATTTCCTAATGCATGAAGCAGTACAACTACAAACATTTTAGTAAAAATAACCTTGCCTATAGCAATCATGGAATGTGCTGAAAAGAACACTGTTAGTATATTAATATGATTCTTTACAGTCATTGAACTTGTCAATTTAACCTGCAAATTGCATTTTGTGTAGTATCAAAACAAAACTTCTTGCACATTTCATCCCTTATACAAGGGATGCTTATACTTATACAAGTAACTTTCAGGAATCTCAAAATGTACTGTATAGAAAAATACTAATTCTCCACAATTAATTAGAATAAAAGCTTCCATGATTCATACTTTTATAGCAAGATTAATATATTCATGCACACATGCTAATAAGCAGAGTTGCTCATAGAAAAATCTTCTCCAGTTGTCAGAATTTCTGTATATATCTAAATATACCCTTCCCGCCTATTCACTCTACTTAACCTTTTGTCAAGAGTATTGTTGTCTCTTTCCTATTAATCGTATTTTACCAAAAGTTAATAAACAAGCCGATGTATTTTCAAAGCAGACACTACAGGAGGCAGAGCATGAAAAGCTAGACCTCACTTCCCTGTAGTAACTGATAGGTAAGCACTTGTATGATATGCACAATAATGCATTTTGCCAATTTTAAATGATGCCGTTTAATGTCCAAGGTTAAATTAGGATGTACGTTGGAAAGAGTACCAGTATTTGTACGGCCAGCTGCCATACCATCTTGTATTTAATGTAAAAACAAAAATAGCAATGATATCCAAGTCAGGGGTGCCAGCCAAGATACAATTCTATTACATGAACTTTCTTTCACACTAGAAATGGGGTGGATCAAACACAAAGTAGCCCATTATCCCATTTATTGCATGTACAGCATATAGTGACTTATATAAAGAAAAATTTCATATTTGCATTATCAGCTACGCATTTTTATCAAAATATACATTTAATGCTCAAATCTTGAAATGTATTATAAATTGTAATGTATCTAAATTAATAATAATAACAAAAATTGAGACCAGCTTTGAGTCATGCTCAGTTATAAATACCTCGCACCAGTTATGGCCTTATAATCATGGAAACCACTTAACCAATACGATACCATTTGATCAATGGGAATCTATTTGAACCATGGAATACCACTCGATCCATGGAATAGCACTTGATCCATGGAATATAGCAATATTATTACTTACTTATAAGTAGTTGGACATATTTTAATACTATTTATTAAAAAAGTGAAAATTCTAGTACAACTGGTTCTTTTTAATATACAGTACAGTAGTGCAATACAGGCACCTGTTATTCATTAACCTACTATATGGAAAATAGTTAAGCTGCAGAAGAGAAAATTAGAAACAAATCTTGTTTCAACAACAAAGTTTTCAAAGAATTTAAATAATTTTTGAATATTAAATTCAATATAAATCAATATACAGTACTATACTATGAATAAGAATTTCATTCATATCTGTCCAAGTGCCTTACATAGCTGCATTCTGAACAATACTCTCAGAGACACTAACATTACAGATGTGTATATCATCAGTACTCATAATGATTATGAACACTCATTGTGAGAAGGTAAGGCAATTATCAGGAGAAAGTGCCAAGCCAGTAGACTATATAGCACTTGGAAGGGATCTGGATAAGGATTTGGGATAGGACAGGGGTTAGGAATGGCGCCCAACCACTTGGATGGTCGGGGAGTGAATGCTGAACTGCATGAAGCGAGACCATCGGTCTATCGTTCATACCATTGTGAGTCTCTCTTAACCATAAAACATTGCAGATACATCATCAGTAGGTAAATAACAGTCTAATACTGAATCTGCATGACAAAAGTTAGTGCTCTCTAAATCTGGTTTGAAAATAACCCAGTTTAAGTCAATTGCTAAAAAAATAAACAAATTCCTATAAATTTTAAATACGATATAAAAATATTAACAAGTTACTTCTCTGCCAATGCATTTTCTGCTGTAGTTGCTAGCTCTTCCAGTGGTGAAAGCTGCCTCACAGGCTCGCTGGAACCATTAACCAAACTTTCTACCTTGAAGGTTTCATCTTGACTGACAGCACTCTGTTGACCACAATTTAAACCAGACTTAGCTGCAGAAGATGGCAGAGCATCATTTGTTGCCTGGGAACTGGATGATAACACATTTTCACTATCATGACAAGAGTCTATGCTGTGTGGCTCAGTGTGGTCACTATCACTTGGTGGCTCGTCTAACCCCGAGTCATGAGGACTGTGTGATCGAGGCAGTGTACTCGGAGGAGAGCTGGCAGAACTGGGTGGATTCTGACTTTCTTCAGCACACTCTGGCTGAGCAACTATGTCTTCCTGGCACGCTTCACCATCAACCTTCTTGTCAAACTGTGTCATAAAGTCAGGGTCAATCTCTCTCAAGTGCTCAAGAAGGCGATTTCGATCATTTTCTGTCCAAGTGCCAAACCATTCATGGAACAACTTTACCTGTGAAGATAAATTCAATATTTAGCTTTAGTTATTGTGACTATTCCATCCAAAACTTAAGGTTGACAGTATGATTGAGGGATAAATAAAATTCCCAATACAGTATCCATACTCAAAAATTATAAAATTCACATTGTGACTCAGATTATTGAAAATATTAGCCTGGTCAGGGACTGGGCCGTTGAGACAGTGAACCCTAGAACCAACAACGGGTAGGCAAGTAGTTGGTTCTCTTTTTCATATAGACATTAAAAAATAATTATAGCTATAAAAAGATTAAGAAATATTTATACTAACAATATACCCAAATAATACAGTACTGGTCCCCCACCTTCAGCAGCATGCACTTGTGTGCATAAACTATTTGCTTCACTTTTACTGAACAGTCTCATGTCAATAACCAAGTGATGAAACACTGCCTGGCACATGTCTTCCCTAAAGAGGAACACTGAAACTTCAGAGAAGATATCCCTAGTGATAATTAGTCTTCATTTATGGAACCTCAGAAGAGGATGCCCAAAATAAATGCAAAAGCAAAACAACAAGAAACACGCAAATCAATTAGCACAAACGCCTTTAACTGCCCAAAGCACTGTCTCGCAATGTGTGCAAGGGGTGTGTAAGTTGACTCGTGGCCACCACATGGGCAGGGTAATCAAATAAGTTGGCTTTGTTTACTGTACAGGTAGTTCCAAGCTAAGTGGCAATTATTTCCATACCTTTTAAAAGGAGGATATAGTGTTTTGTTATATTCCTTGCTTATCTTTGTAGTGGCTAGATATGATCCCCACGAACTCCCTTGCCACATGGAGGAGCAACACTATTAGAAAAGATGTCTCTCTCCTCAGTGTGCAGAGATTATTTCCGAGCACTTGGTGTGATGATATAGTGTTCTGTATGTGCGGGTGACGTAAGCTGAGTCAAGCTATCACGGCCACTAAACACAAGAAATATGGTAGACTAGTATTTTATTGCAGAGTTGGTTCTATCAAGATTTTAGGTCCGTCTAATTACCCAAAGCTACTCAAAGCTTCCTAACATTACATTAGTAATGAATAACTATGATATATTTATTCATTATAATGTTGGTGCTGAATGTAGAACATGGAAAAAACATATTTTTACTCTGAGTAAGTATAATTTTATAATGAAATTAGACGAAAATAATCTGCTAGTGATTATACAGTATCCACTCAATTTAACGGCCTCTTTTATACCGATCTGCTGGTATTAACGACCGGTTTGGGAGCCCAGTAGCTAGAGCCTGCTATACCGGTCTGCGGTCGATATTACCGACAGTCGGTATTGGGTTTGTTGTGGCATCAGCGTCCCCTCACATGGCGACCAGGCCGCCACCGACCTGGATCGTCCAGAGTCATATATTACATCTTAATTTTCTTTTAAAATGATTCACTTTAATGAAGAAAATTGTAAATTATTATTAATAAAATATTTTGAAACAGTTTTTATTAAGCAAAAGTCTTTGTTTTCTTATTAAATACCTTTTATAGTATGTATAGGCACTAGGTATTTTTTTTCCCACGGACCTAGTATGTACTCCGACGGGCCATGTGTTCCCATTGTTTACCGTGAACTCGCGCGGCTAGCTTCAATTGTGAAGGATATTACTGTACTGTAATTGTGATCTTTTTAATTTACAAAATGCCAAAAGTTACCCAAAGGAAGCGCCTGACGGTTGCACAGAAGCTGGAGTTAATTAAGAAACTTGATAAAGGATATTCTCATGCACGAGCAGCAGCAGAGTTTAACATCGGGAAAAGTACAGTAAGTGACATCAAGAAACAGAAGGATACTCTATTAAAATATGTGAGCACAACAGAGTGTGCTACTTCTGGTGCTGCATGTTCGAGAAAAACAGTAAAGTCTGGTCAGTATCCACAATTGGATGCTGCAGTGTATAAGTGGTTTATTCAGCACCGCACAATTGGCATGGCAATAAGATTTGAAGAGCTTAAAGTTGCAGCAAGTAAACTTGCCATTCAATTAGGTATAAAAGATTTCAGTGCAAGTGATGGGTGGGTTGGAAGATTTAAGGCTCGGCATAACATTTCAAACACCAAAAAAATTTCTGGTGAGGCGTCAAGTGCTGATCCCACTAATGTTGATTCATTCAAGGCTAAATTAAACGAGTACATTGTCAGTAATAATTTAAGGAAATATCAAGTATATAATGCTGATGAGACTGGGTTTATGTGGCGAGCTGTACCAAGTACATCCTTAACCAGTAGGATGCAGGAAAATATTCCTGGACGAAAGATAAGCAAGGAACGGCTCTCAGTCTTGCTTTGTGCTAATGCTGATGCCTCTCACAGGACAAAATGTGCCGTGGTAGGCAAGTCTAAAAATCCTCGAGCCTTAAAAAATATAATGCAGGCATTACCTGTAATATATTACAATTCTAAGAAATCATGGTTTAATCAAATAATATTTACGGACTGGTTTGAAAACCACTTTTGCAAAGAAGTCAGAGAATTCCAGATCAACAAATGTGGAATAAAGGCCAGTGAGGTTAAGGCATTGTTGCTGCTAGATAATGCTCCTGCTCATCCCATTAGCAAGTTAATTTCAAGGGATGGCAGAATAAAATGCATGGCACTTCCACCAAACACAACATCCTTGATCCAGCCCATGGACCAAGGTGTTATCCTTGCTGCTAAACGTATGTACCAAACAGCAATGCTTGAAGATGTTTTAGTTGTTTTACCTAGCGAGGAAGATGAATTGACAGGAAAGGATACAAGGGCTCAAAGAACACTAGAAAATCTAAAAAAGTACACAATCAGGGAAGCAATATTCCACTGGGCTAGGCTTTGGAATAAAGTGAAAGAAACCACACTAACAAATTCATGGAAGAAACTGTTAACAGAGAGGCCTAGATGTGAAGCAGCAGTATCTGATAGTGAATTCGAAGGTTTTGAAAATGAAGCCAATGATTTTGAAGGGTTTGAAGAAACGATCCGAACAATGTTGCTCCAAGCTGGTCAGGGTGTACAAGTGAATGATATCAATGAATGGTTAGAAAATGATTACGATCCTGGTTATGAATTGTTAACTGAAGAACAGATTGCGCAAAGTGTTCTCGGAAATGACTCTGATGACTCTGATGACTCTGATGATGACTCGGACGATGTTGGTGAGGCTCTGCCTAGAGGTGTCGGATATCAGAAAAGATTGGAACAAGTTGAGGAACTCATTGAATATTCAATAAAAAGTAAACATGAGGTTATTGGAAATTTTTATGTACACCTTACAGCCTTAAAGCAATGTCTCAAAACGTTAGCCAGAGAAAATCAGATTCAGACAAAAATAGATAAATTCATGATTTCAACGGTTCGTGAAAAATCTTCGTCGACAAGCGATGCTGCACCCGTCGATGCTGAATTACCATCGACAAGTCGTGGAGCATCCGCCAGCAATGAATGCTCTACAAGCCATGCTGCACCCGCCGATGCTGAATTCCCATCGACAAGTCGTGGAACATCCGCCAGCAACGAATGCTCTACAAGCCATGTTGCACCCGCCGATGCTGAATTCCCACCAAGTCGTGACAAGTCATCCACTAACGATATAAAATATGATTGAAAGGCATATAAATTAGTGTAAAAAGTATTGATAGAGTACAGTATTGTAAGTGTTAATGATTAATTAAGCCTAGACAAAAAGATACTGTACAGTGTAAATATACAGTAGAAATAATTGTCAATAGTGAAGTAGAATTAGAACTCATGTGAATTAGTAGTAAGGCTAGCTGTTGTGTGAAGTGAGTGCCTGAAAATAATTGTACATATAAAACAAGCGCTGCAGAGGATGACGTAATCATCACAGCTTCGTAATCTTCAGCTTCATTAAAAGTAAGTCAATTTACCAATTTTATTATAGTATTACAAGATATTAATTTTTTTTTTTTCAACAAAAGCTACATATTAGTCTCTGCAAATGTATATTCTATCGTCAGCAGAGAAAAGGTGAGCTCAAAATATTTCGTCTTGGCTAGCTCTCAGTGACAAGGCTCGATCGCCATTGTTATGGCATGGCCGCCACAGCCTGTGTCGTAACATTAAAAATACATTACCTGCACTGTTCAGGGTAAATCAAAACACATCTCTAAAATTTTATTAAGACAATATTAACTCGCTGATTGATACATGAAATATTTTTCAATACAAAGGAATGAATCAATTTTTTCCCACCCATCTGGACTTGATCAGAGCGTGTTTACACATCATCCATGCAGCAGCCAGCAACTGGCTTAATCGTCGGCCGTGCACTAAATTGGAATGCAATTACACAATGAACTTTATTTAATTTTAGTTATACAGTGTAAAATATATCCTACCTGAATGTTACTTGAAAAATTACCCGACCCGACTTAACGTCGGAAATAACGGAGCTCCGTAAATAACGACTTGGGCTCAGCCCCATATAGGCTGTTAAATTGAGTGGATACTGTATTGTTAATCGAGGTGCCACTGTATATCATATTTCTTCATTACTTACGTAATACTAAGCAGCTTTGGGTAATTAGACGGACCGAGATTTTAAAGTTATGGCTTCTATTATGATTTTTTTAACTATTGTTCCAGTATTTTTACTAGTCTCCGTGGTGTAGTGGTAAGACACTCGCCTGGCGTTTCGCGAGCGCTTTGTCATGGGTTCGTATCCTGGCCGTGGAGGATTTACTGGGCGCAAATTCTTAACTGTAGCCTCTGTTTAACTCAACAGTAAAATGGGTACTTGGTTGTAAAAACAATTCTTCGTGGTGGGGATTGTATTCCAGGGACCTGCCCGAAACGGTATGCGTACTAGTGGCTGTACAAGAATGTAACAACTCTTTTATACATAAAAAAAAAAGTAGATAAATATTTTGTAATTTTGAAGCACCTCTGTACTACATACTGAATAAGAAAATAATGGGTGACATTGGACTATACTAGTACTGCCCAAAAGCTAAATGGATTTAAGCTTTATAATCATACACAAGTGTGAAGAGGCATTCTTTCAATTTTGAACAGGAAATTTATATATAATGAGAGAAAAAACACACAATATATATTGGGGATATATGATTATGTGTAATACTGTGTGTGTACTCCTTCCATTACAGTGAAAGTACACAGCACTAAGGACAAAATACCAGTTTGTGGTGTAACAATGTACACTACATGTGATGAGTAACCCTTTATAAATCAGCTGAATGACATGAAAGCACTTATTTGCAACATTATAAGGACTAAAATTCTGCTTTATCTTACCTGACAGTCAAAGAGGGATGGTCTTCTACCTTGGACATGCAAAGAATCAATTCCCCCAAGAAGGCCATTGATGTGGTCTTTCGGGTGGTAAGCTTGCACAAGAATTGGCAAGAAGTCTTCTCTCTGCATCTCAGACCAAGTAAAGAACCACTGACCAAGGAAGTTCACTTGATCAACAGTTGTATGTTGTTGTGGCATGTTGCTTGATTACTGATCTACAGTAAATTGGTTTTCCCAAATGATCAAGAACAGTGGCTAAAATTTGTTAATATATAATTTAGATACAGTACTGTATTTCATATTATTTACACTTGTAAATAATAGTTAGTTTCCAGTGGAATATTTCTGATTGACTATAGTATGGAACTTGTCTACAAATCTGGGGTCTTCAAGATGAAGGTTGAATAACAGTAGATTGCGATGATGACAAGTCCATGCATCAAACCATTGGGAGAAGAGGCGTAACTGACACTGAATCACCGACTGACAGCTTGTGTTGAGGTTTAACTGATCCAGGCCCTGTTAAGAAAAGAACATGCCTTTTAATGTATATTATAACTAAATATTTTCTACATTTAATCATAAAAATTTCTGTCCTGTTTAGGACAGAATTTATTAGGTTTTAATATCTGTTGAGGGTTCAGAAACATAATACAGTACTGTACAATATTTCTACTCCTTTAGGCTATATCCTACATTTCCAAGGACATTGCAAGCTCCAGCCTAGATCAGTGTGACCTAATTTCTGACACAGTTGGAGGGAGAAAGAGAATCTCTGCTATATGCCCTGCCAGGCAAAACCTGCAGAAAGGAACACCACTGGAATTTCTCAATCGAAGCAATACTTGAAAAAAAAAAAAATAACTAAAAAGCTTTTAGCTGAATTTATCTGAGGGCCACTGACACTAGTGGCTTCGAAGAGGACAGAAAGCCGGCAGCTTGTCAAAGGTCCCTCCACCCCATTTGCCTTGATAATTCTTTCACATTGGATTTTGAAATTCAACAGTCTTGATATTTATGTCGGATAAGTGGTTCCACAGGTTTATAAACTTGTGGGTGAAAAATCATCTGTTCTCAGTCCTGCATTGTGGCTTGTCGAGCTTGAAGCCGTTGCTGCTTGTTTGTGTTACATTTGACCTTTTGAGGACATTGTCGAGATCAACATCCACCAAATTGTTCAGTACAGTATTTTAAAAGTTTTAATGAGATCTGCCCTGTCATGCCTGGTTTGCAGTGTTCTTAGGCCTGTAGCCCTCAATACAAGAGATGATTTAGCTCTGGAATGATTTTTGTTGCCTGGTGTTGCACTTTCTCCAGAGCAGCTATGTCCTTCTGAAGATGTGATCTCCATGCTTTGTACATTCAGTACAAAGTACAAATATGCCATACTTTGTACTTTCAGTCCCCGTGGTGCAGTGGTAAGACACTCGCCTGGCGTTCTGTGAGCGCTTTGTCATGGGTTCGTATCCTGGCCGGGGAGGATTTACTGGGCGCAAATCCTTAACTGTAGCCTCTGTTTAACTCAACAGTAAAATGTTTACTTGGTTGTAAAAACAATTCTTCGTGGTGGGGATCGTATTCCAGGGACCTGCCTGAAACACTACACGTACTGGTGGCTGTACAAGAATGTAAACTCTTGCATCTAAAAAAAAAAAAAAAAAAAAAAAATAGTAATTACAGTACTTTACATTCAGTAATTACAGCTTACTTTGCAGTCAGTAATTACAGCTTACTTCACATTCAGTAATTACAGCTTACTTTCCATTCAGTAAGTAATTATCAAAAGAAGGCACCAAACCGAGAAGGCTATGAAGCACCAACAAATGTGTGGAATAATCAGAGGGTGCTAAATATCACCAAGGATGCTAATACGAGAACAAAAACGCATAAGGCGAACGATATCAAAAGTATCCGAGTCACCAAGAACTCTATCGAGGGACAGGTGACTGCGAGGGACAGTCGGAAAGCAAGACACATGCTCGTCCTGGAAGTCAGGACATTCAACAAGGATATGCACGACAGTAAGAGGGATAATGCAATGTGGACAATAAGGAGCTGGGCGGTGCTCCATTAAGTGACTGTGAGTTAAGCGAGTATGGCCAATATGCAACCTCGCTAGAGCCATTTCCCTTCGCCGGTTACAGTGGTAGGAGGACGGCTACGAGGACACACAACGCTTAAGAGTACGCAGTTTGTTGCCTGCCAACGGGTAAGGATGGAGGAATGGATAACCGGGTAAAAGTCGGAATATGGAATACCTTAACGAGAGATGGGACAAGAGCGGACAGCTTCCCTGGTGGCAGCATCCACACGCTCATTTAAAAAGACATGGCTGGGAACCCAACAAAACTTAACCGACTTAAATTTACTGTGAACAAGAAACAGCCAATGCTGGATCTCGACAACCACTGGATGAACCGGATAAAAGGGCCCGAGAGCCATGAGGGCACTACAAGAGTCAACAACAACAAAGGAAGATTGACAATGATAAAGCAGGAGACGAAGAGCATAAAGAATAGCATAAAGTTCCGCTGTGAAGATGCTAGTCTCCGGAGGTAAGCGACACATATAAGTGCAATCAGGAAAAACAACAGAGTAGCCAACACTGTCTGCAGACTTAGACCCATTGGTGAAGATGGAAACGGAGTGGGAGTGAGAAAAAAAGTGTTCAAGGAAAAGGTGTTTCATAACTATAGGAGGGTAAAAGCTTTAGTGATGTGGGTTAAGGATGTACAAAACTGCGGAAGGGGGACTCTCCACGGGGGCAAAGAAGGAATAACACGGGGAGAAATATCAGAAATATGAACCGAAAGAGAATCCTGTAAGCGAGATAACCGGACAGAAAGGGGAAGGTGGTGAAGAGGAACAGGAACTGCAGGAGGGGCAAAAGTTAAAGCACAACAGAGGCGAGAGGAAGGATGTAGCAAGGACCGTGCAAGATAGCAAAGACAGTAGCGATCACGGCAGACCCTGAGAGATAGGAAGCCAGTGTCAACTTACAAATTGAGGACGGGAGTCGAACGAAAGGCACCAGAACTGAGGCGCTACCCCGTATGGTGCAAAACATCAAGATGGCGGAGAGTAGAAGGAGAAGCAGACGAATAAGTAGGGCAACCATTATCGAGCTTAGACAGGACGAGAGAGGAATGGAAAGCGAGGAGAGTGCGCCTATCTGCTCCCCAAGAAGAATGGGACAATACCCAAAGGAGGGCAAGGGCCTTAGAACACTCAACGCGGAGGTAAGAGATATGGGGAGAGCAAGACAAACGAGTATCAAAGAATAACCCCAAAAGCTTCGCAGAACCTTTGTACTCAAGGGGATGACTATAAAGTGACAAAGAGGGGCGAAGAACGACCTGTTTCCGAATAAAAATTACGGCACAAGTCTTAGTAGTAGAGAACTTGAAGCCATGATCGGTGGCCCAAGATGACACGGAGGAGAGGTGAATCATTACCCTGACAGCAAAGGGTAAGATCATCGACATAGAGAGTGGAGAAGACGCCTGAAGGAAGAGAGGAAAGAAGACCATTGAGGGCAACCAGAAAAAGAGTAGTGCTCAGAACAATACCCTGGGGCACGCCTTCATATTGCTGAAAAGAGGCAGAGAGCGGTACCAAGCCTCACCCGAAAGGAACGACGAGAGAGGAAGCTGCGGAGAAAGAGAGGGAGACGACCACGACGGCCAAAAGAATGAAGCTGGGATAGAATATGATACCGCCAAGTGGTGTCGTAAGCCTTTTCCAGGTCAAAAAGGACAGCAACAACGGAGGTCTTCGCAGCAAAAGCAGTACGAATATAGACCTCCAAGTTCACCAGGACATCTGTTGTGCTGCGGCACTTGCGGAAACCAAATTGAGAAGGGGAGAGGTGATGGTGTTCCAGGAACCACATCAGACGAACGTTAACCATACGTTCAAAGAGTTTGCAGACACAACTGGTGAGGGCAATAGGGCAAAAGTCCTTAGGGGATGTTCCCAGAGACCCTGGTTTGTGAACAGGGAGGACAACGGCATCGAGCCAGTCCTCAGAGACTGACGATGACTCCCAGATCCAATTATACAGACTCAGTAAATACCGAGACGAGCACGGAGGGAGATGGCGAAGCATCTCATAATGAATGCCATCGGAGCCCACCACTGTAGAATCACAGAGGGCCAGGTCAGAACGAAGTTCAGAGAGAGAGAAGGAATCGTTATAGGGAAGTCGAAGACGAGTGCAGAAATCTAAAGGAAGAGATTCTAGGACAGGTTTACAAAGAAGGAAAGTAGCAATTCACAACACTTCGTAGCAATCTAGTTCACACTGCTCCTCCTGCTTCTAATGCTGCTGGTGTCTACTCTATTTCCTGTTCATCTTGTCCTCTCCAATACTTTGGCGAAACTGGCCGTACACTGAATGACAGACTTAAAGAACACAAGAGAAGTGTAAAGTCTGCAGACACTAACAATGCTCTCTTCTGCCAAGTGAGGGATTCTAATCATCCCATTGATTGGTCTTCCCCCAAAATAATCTTTCCTGCCTCTACTCTACACAGACGCCGTCTTGTAGAATCGGCTCTTATACACAATGTACCCAACATGAACTTGAGTCCTGGCTTTGTTGCTGTGGACTCTTCCCTTTCACAGTATATACTCAAATGCTCTAATCTTTCTAACAAACGTGACTTAAAATAAGCTTACCCCTTCCATTTATCTTTCTTTCTCTTTTGTTTTCTTTCTCTCTTCTCCCTTTTTCTGTTCATGGTCTACTCCTACGCTCCCTTACTATCCTCTTCTTATTCCTATTACTATCTCCTTCGGTGGTTATAATAGGAGCTGCCTCGTATGGGCCAATAGGCCTTCTGCAGTTCTCATTATTACTACTATCCCCTACACCTTACTTTCCTCCTCAGCTCTCTCTTGCCTATTTATTGCCTGTCCCTACCTCCTCATCACAATCGACTTGAGAATGGTCCAGGACGGACCGAAACGTCGTCGTCCTTTCAACTTCTAGTGTGTGGTCTGGTCAACAAAGAAGGAAAGATTGGGGAAGATGAAAACAAGAGCTAACAGAAGAAATGTGGGAACCCAGTTCGATAGCGACCTGCAACGGGTCCGCCACAAGAGTACCGCGGAAGTGAAGGACAGGTGAAACATCGGGAACGAACTTACCCGCTATCTTGCGGATACGTTTCCAGATCTGTGGCCGAGGAGTTTCGGACATAATGATGGAGACATAAGATGCCCAACATTCACGTTTAGCTGTACTGATGGCCCTACAGGCCACCGCACTTGCCTTCCGAAAGAAAGGAAAAGAATCGGCTGTCTGCCGATGGCGGTGTCTCTTCCAGGCTGCCCGCTTACAGCAGACAGCCCGAGCACAGTCTGCATTCCACCAGGGAATGCACTTCTGTGGACATCGAGAGGAAGAGCGAGGAATAGAGCTGAGGGCAGTGTTGAAGACGGTGTCATGAAAAAGGAGGAGAGAGCAAGGGAGAGGCAGAATGGAGAGGTCAGAGAGAGCAGCACTGAGGGTAAAT